AGACTATAACTGGCCTAAAATTCATCACATAAGCAGCTTAATTTACAGAAATTAAGAAAAAATCTATTACATTGTTCCTTTAACTCTACAGTACCTGTTTTCCTGAAATCTGAAATCCCATCTATATTTGACCCTTCTCTCATACATTTGAAAATGTTAATCTGCGAGTCCATCACTATAGTGTGCTTTTCAACAGGGACAGAAACAATTTTGCCCTTAAGGGAAAACTGGCAGTATTTGGAGACATTTTGGTTGTCACGTCTGGTATGTACTGCTGTAATTTAATGGTTTGAGGTTAGGGATGTTGCTAGACATCTTTCTGTAAGTGAAATGGCCTTCCACAACAAAGAATTTCTGGCCCCAAATGTCCATAGTGTCCTGTTTAAAAAGCATTCTGTATAGTGAGCATCTAAAAATGAAAACCATCCAAAGTAATTTTAGTGATAAATCATTTTTAAAACATATGATATATGTCATTTAATAATTAAAGAATTCACCAAGCTAAAAAGTTTCTGTCTATAATGTTATAATGTTCTAAGTCAAATACTTTGAAAAAAAAATAGCACAAGTTATAATAGAGAAGCTCAATAAAATCATGCTCTTGGCAGGAATTCTATTTTAGTTCAGAGTCATTCATATGATTTGTTAGATAAGAACTGTTTTAAAGCAATGAATTACAATTCCTCAAATATATTCATTTTATCATAAAGTATCTTCAGCTGAACACTGTGCCCTTTTAAAACTTTTTAGACCCAGGCATTCTTATTCCTAAAATATCATTAACTTGAAGCAGGTCAGACCATGAACACCTACATAACTGGCCTACAAATTTCTCATTCATGAACAATCAGCTGCAATTCTCTTGTTATGGGTTTTTGAAAGGACTGTTTCAGGACCCATAACTTATATATGATATTGAATCCCTCCTTTTATGAAACACTAGATTTTTTAAAAAATATATTTATATATTCCCCTTCCCAAAACTTTTCATATCTGTCTCTCTCACAGCAATTTAATCATCTTCCTTTTGTAGTTTTCATGGGGAAACAGAAGAGAATGAGTCACAATGACTGGCACTGGTTTAGCCCTCTCGTCTGAGGACTGACATATTGGCAATGATTTACTTATTCTACCTGTTCCTCTTCTATTCCACTCCAGTTCTGCTCCCCTATTCAGATTCTTTATTGCCTACAAAGTATCTTGTTTAGTATTCTTTGTTTTGGATATTACAGGATAAGGTAACACGCCATATGCAATCATTCATTATTTATTTCTTGCTCTACTTAAATTTATTATTCCAAAATTTATGTTTTGTAATTTCCACATTTCTAGTATAATAATAATAATGATATTTTAGGAAGCATTTCTGTGCCAGACAATGCCTTTATATGCCTTCCATAAACTGCCTATTTTACTTATTATGATATAGATATAATGATCAGTCCTCTATGCATAATTTGAGGTAAACATATGAAAAAACTGAGAATATTGCCTTACTCTGCCCATTTTTAGACAGTCACTGGCTAAACTGGATTTTGAACCCACATCTAGCTGGACTCAGTATACTTTATGTAAATATAAGTACCTCATTTTTCTCCCAGCATTAAAAAATCAGAGAATTGATTCAATATACTCAGAGAAAATATGCTCACTAAAAATCATGTATCTTTTCTCTTTTAACAAAATATTATTAGGCACTAAAAAACAAGCAACTTTGCTTATCATCCCTATAAGAGTTTAAATATACCTTATAATAACCCTTGGTTCCACTGGTAAATACATCATCAGATGACCTATATAAAAGATCCCCATATTTCTGAAAATAACCAATGTGAGTATTGGTTTCTCGTGTTTCTTTTTGTGGATTTAGAGTCCAAGTCACTACAGAACAATGGGACAGAAGAGAAAGCACAGAAATAAACTCACAGATATATGGTCAATTAATCTATGACAAAGGAAGCAAGAATATACAATGGAGAGAACACAGTCTCTTCAGTAAGTGGTGCTGGGAAACTAGATAGCTACATGTAAAGCAATGAAAGTATAATATTCTCTAGCACTAGAAACAAAAATGAATTCAAAATGGACTAAAGACCCAAATGTAAAACTGTATATACAAAACTCTTAAAGGAAAACATAGGCAGAACACTCTTTGACATAACTAGCAGTATCTTTTGGCTCCACCTCCTAGATAACCAACATTTTAAAAATAAACAAATAGGACCTAATTAAATTTAAATTCAAAAGATTTTGTACAGCAAAGGAAACCATAAACAAAACAAAAAGACACCCCACAGAATAGGAGAAAATATTTGCAAAGGATGTGATTGATGACATTAATCTCCAAAGTATACAAACTGCTTATACAGCTCAATAAAAAAAAAACTAACCCAATCAAAAAATGGCCAGAAGTTCTAAATAGACTTTTTTTTCCAAAGAAGACATAGTAATGAACAAAGACACATGAAAAGAGGCCCATTATCACTAATTATTAGAGAAATGCATATCAAAACTACAGTGAGGTATCACTTTACACCAGTTCAGAATGGTCGTCATCAAAAAAATTTACAAATAATAAATGCTGGAGAGGGTGTGGAGACAAGGCAACCAACCTACACTGTTAGTAGAAATTTAAATTGGTATAGCCACTATGGAGAACGGTATGGAGGTTCCTTAAAAAAATGAAAATAGAGTTACCTTATAGTCCAGCAATCGATCCTAGGCATATATACAAAGAATACCATACTTCAAAAAGATATGCACCCAATTTCATTACAATAGCCAGGACTTGGAAGCCACCTAAATGTCCATCGACAGATGAATGGATAAAGAAGACGTGGTACATATATACAATGGAATATCACTCAGCCATAAAAAGGATGAAATAATGCCATTTGCAGCAACACAGATGGACCTAGAGATTATCATAGTAAGTGAAGGGAATTTAAGTTAGACAAAGAAAGACAATTATCATATCATAACACTAATATGTGAAATCTAAAAAAAAATGATACAAATAAACTTATTTATGAAACAGAGACTTTGAAAAAAAACTTATGCTTTCAAAGGGGAAAAGTACAACAGAAGGATAAATTAGGATGTTGGCATTAACGTATGTACACAATTATATATAAAATAGATAATCTACACTACTATATATAAAATAGATAACCACAATGACCTACTGTATAGCAGAAGACATTCAAAACTCTGTAAAAACCCGTATGGGAAAACGTCTGAAAAAGAATGGACACGTGTGTGTGTGTAGCTGAACCACACTGCTGTACAGCTGAAACTAACACAACATTGCAAATCAACTATACTCCAGTATTAATAAAACATTCTTAAAAGCAAATATAAATCTAAAACAAAAAAATAATATTTTTTCTTGGGACTATATTGACCAAAGAAGGGAGTCAACATGAATCCCTTCTATGACAAAAGGCAGTGGAAGAGAAATCAAAAGTATTAAGACTAAAATGTCATTATTATTCCTGATAAAAGTTAGATTAAGAAGGTGATACTTTTCTCCAAGCAAGTAAGTGTACTAATGCTCCTCCACAATGCTGTAACCTGAGTCCACAAGATAGATATTATGCTCTGTAACTAATATATTCATAGTTTATATATACATATATATATGTGTGTGTTTGTGCATGTATATATATATATATATCTTTGGAGAAGGAAATGGCACCCCACTCCAGTACACTTGCCTGGAAAATCCCGTGGATGGAGGAGCTTGGTAGGCTATAGTCCATGGGGTCGCAAAGAGTCGGACATGACTGAGTGATTTCACTTTCACATATATATCTTAGCTTGTGAAATTCCTGTATGTACTGAACATTAGCAGAAATGCCCTGCAAAATGCCCTTCCCTCCCACTGATTTTATTTTATTTTTTTTTTAATTTTCTTTTTTTTTTCCATTTATTTTTATTAGTTGGAGGCTAATTACTTTACAACATTGCAGTGGTTTCTGTCATACATTGAAATGAATCAGCCATGGATTTACATGTACTCCCCATCCCGGTCCCCCCTCCCACCTCCCTCTCCACCCGATCCCTCTGGGTCTTCCCAGTGCACCAGGCCTGAGCACTTGTCTCATGCACCCAACCTGGGCTGGTGATCTGTTTCACCCTCGATAATATACAGGTTTCGATGCTGTTCTCTTGAAACATCCCACCCTCGCCTTCTCCCAGAGTCCACCAGTCTGTTCTGTCCATCTGAGAAGTAACTGTACAGGCCCCCCAGGTGGCGCTAGTGATAAAGAACCTGCCTGCCAATGCAGCAGGTGAAAAGAGATGCTGGTTCAATCCCTGGGTCAGAAAGATCCCCTGGAGGAGGGCATGGCAGCTCACTCCAGTGTTCCTGCCTGGAGAAACCTTTGGACAGAGGAGCCTGGTGGGCTACAGTCCATAGGGTTGCAAAGAGTTGTACATGACTGAAGCAACTTAGCACACATGCAAAAACATAGTAACTGTACACGCCTCTGGATGATATAGTAGTAATAATAATTAGCTAAATAAAAGTAATATAATAAAATTTGCTAATGAAATTACAAATGTTATGTCAGCTTAAAAAACATCTCTTGTATCTACTACTTGCAATATGATCTATGCTTTGAAAATACTAGGATGATTAGGAGTTAAGGACTTGTACTAGAAAAGTTCACATTTATGAGGTGACCATACAGCTGAATCTCTAAAAATAAAACATACAGGATGTGTTCAATAATACAATGAATTATAACTAAAACATAGAAGCTATGGAGACAAAGGAAAGGCTACTTCTGTCTGGGAAGACTCAATGAAAAGTTAGGTAATGACTGGATTTTGGTGTACCCAATACCAGATTCACAGACAGTGAGGACCAGTGGCAGTCCAGGTATAGAGGAAAACTGGGATAGTTTCTGAGATCAGTAAGTACAGTGTCCTACGGGACACATTTAGTCATCAAAGGGTATGAATGGAAGGTATCTAACTTTCCAACTGTATTCAGACTACTTCTTTTCATTATCTCTTCTCTCTAGCTTTACCAATTTACACATGCTTCTCAAAAATCCCATGCTGTTTTGTCTCGTCAAGATTTCTTCATTTTCTCTCTTCTTGTTTGTGAATATTTTGAATTTTTTAGCAGTAGCTTTAGTACCATTCCCATCCTCAGAAATACTAGAAGACAATAAAACAAAACTTGGGGGAAGTTTATGACAATTAATCTTTTATGTATTTAAAAAAATAATTTCATGTAACATTTTATTCAATCATTTCAACAGTCCATAAAGCAGGCATTTATTTTCTGCACATTTAGAAATATACAACTGCTCTATCTTTGTATAGTGACAGATGATAACCAGACATACTGTGGGGATCATTTTATAATGTATAGAAATACTGAATCACTCTGTTGTGTACTTAGAACTAACAGTGTTGTTCAGTTCAGTTGCTTAGTCATGTCTGACTCTTTGCGACCCCATGAATTGCAGCATGCCAGGCCTCCCTGTCCATCACCAGCTCCCGGAGTTCATTCAAACTCATGTCCATCGAGTCGGTGATGCCATCCAGCCATCTCATCCTCTGTCATCCCCTTCTCCTCCTGCCCCCAATCCCAACCAGCATCAGGATCTTTTCAAATGAGTCAACTCTTCGCTTGAGGTGGACAAATATTGGAGTTTCAGCTTCAACATCAGTCCTTCCAATGAACACCCAGGACTGATCTCCTTTAGGATGGACTGGTTGGATCTCCTGGCAGTCCAAGGGACTCTCAAGAGTCTTCTCCAACACCACAGTTTAAAAGCATCAATTCTTCGGCGCTCAGCTTTCTTCACAGTCCAACTTTCACACCCATACATGATCACTGGAAAAACCACAGCCTTGACTAGATGGACCTTTGTTGGCAAAGTAATGTCTCTGCTTTTTAATATGCTATCTAGGTTGGTGATAACTTTCCTTCCAAGGAGTAAGTGTCTTTTAATTTCATGGCTGCAATCACCATCTGCAGTGATTTTGGAGCCCCAAAAAATAAACTCAGCCACTGTTTCCACTGTTGCCCCATCTATTTGCCATGAAGTGATGGGACCAGATGCCATGATCTTAGTTTTCTGAACGTTGATGTTGTAGGTCAATTTAAAAAATATGTAGATACTGGGAGAAAATGCATTAAAATGGTAATGACTGTTATCTCTAGGGGGTGAGGATAATGGGTGATTATTAATTTTACTTTATGTTTTTATGTATTTCTAGGTGACTGCAATGAATACGTACTGCTTGCAAAATTAGAAAGAGAATAACTGTCATTTAAAAAAGGGAATAAGAGAAACATAAAACTGAGACTCAAAACTAAATGCAAATTACTTTATGAAGTAACTGATAAATTATAGGGGTCATGTTAAACTCTAAAGCTCACACAATCTCCCTGTAGGAAAAAAAAATAAAAAATAAACTTCCATTAAAACAAAACACCAACAGAACAGTGGCATTTGGCCAAGGTACTTGCTTCTTTTTAATCTCTTGCTGTTATTAACTCACCAAAATTCAAATAGAAAGTCAAGCTATTTCAAATTCAATATCTGAACAATATCTGAACACTTTTGCATATACTGGGCGAAAATGTATATGCAAGCCAATTGAACTACAAATTTATTATTCTGAAAAAGAACTGTCTCAATCCCCACATTTAAGACTGGCTGAAATGAACATTACACTTTGAAAATGTTATAACTATGTGGCTAGGCAATATTTTCATGCCCAATGCCAAGAACAGTACATATTTGATGACATTAGACTTGCTACTATTTTAAACCTAGAAACATCAATATATCTAAATCTTTCATAATGTTTACTAAACACACACACTGTGTGTGTATTAGTAGCTTGTGTGTGTTAGTTGCTTAGTAGTATCCGACTCTTTGCAACCCCATAGACTGTAGCCCACCAGGCCCCTCTGTCCATGGGATTCTCCAGGTAAGAACACGAGTGGGTTGCCATTTTCTTCTCCAAAAGGAACTATAGAAAGAAAGAAAGTGAGGTCGCTCAGTCATGTCCGACTCTTTGTGACCCCATGGACTGCAGCCTACCAGGTTCCCCCATCCATGGAATTTTCCAGGCAAGGGTAGTGGAGTGGGTACCGTTTCCTTCTACAGCTTAGTTGTGTCCAATTCTTGCAACCCCATGGACTGTAGCCCGCCAGGCTCCTCTGTCTATGGAATTTTCCAGGCAAGAATCCTGGAGTTGGTTGCCATTCCCTTCTCCAGGGGATCTTCCCAACCCATGGATCAAGCTCCCATCTCTGTATTGCAGGCAGATTCTTTACCATCTGAGCCGCCAGGGAAGCCCATAACTCATATTTAAAATGTGTTGTAATTACCATCACTAAGTGGTATCTTTATTTACAGTCAATCTGCTTTTCTGACCACAAATAGTCACCATTTATTATGGATTTTGCATGTGGAAGACAAATTAAACTTATTTTTGATTTTAAATAAATTCAAGAGGAATATAATATGCTCTTTAATCATCCATTATGATTTTATTGTTTTATTTATATATTGTACTTGAAATTCTTTTTGGAAGCAGATGATGTGTAAATTAATATACAAGTAAACAATGTCATGAAACTCTAGTAGAACCACTGTTAATTGAAAGCTAATTTCTGTAAAAAAGTAAAACATCTGGTAAGTTTTAATAGTGTTAACAAATTATCCCTTCAACCAATATTGGTTGTTCTAGTATGTGCCAAGAACCATTCCAGGACAGTTTTCCCTAGGCCTTGGACAGAAATCAAGATGGGAGGTAAATCTTGATGTTCTCAGATTAGTTCTCAAAGCAATTCCAAACCGTTAAGGAGAAAGATCACCAGAAGAAATGTCACTGCTGCAGTGAGAGTGGGCCAGATAACAGACAGCATCACTGTCCAATCTGGTGTATATCAAAGAGGGGGGCTAGTGGTAATGTTGAGTTTTGAGTTGGAAGAGATTCACTACAAATAATGCTTTCTTTGTAGAGATGACACACACAAGAAACTTACCAAGAGCTAAATGAGTTAAAGCAAAAATATCAAATTGTAAGGACAGGAAAGTTTCATTCCTCATGAGTATAAATTCATCTGGCTGAATAAATGCCATATGCCAGAAGTTTTGCTAAATGAGTGTTTCTGACAAGACCCTGCCATGATCTATTGTCAAAAATCCCTGGCCTTATGGTAATAGGTACCTTAGCTGTCCTTGAACAGGAGATTTAGAAGGAAGAAATTTAAGTGGGACTATATTTTCCCAAAAACACATGGTGTCCAGGTTGGCATAGAACAAGTAAGCAGAAATGTTCTCAGTGCTCACTGACAGGTAGAAATATGATACACTTACTTGAGACTGCTATGGATTTGTGTGGACAGAGATCTTACTTTACGTAGGAGGAGAGACTTAACTAGCAAAATAATTTAAAACCTCACAAGTGATCAGAGTATCATCCTAGAAAATAACAAGTTTTGAGTCACAGAGAGTTCTACAGGCTGTGATGGATCTGGATTAAACAGTTTTGGTCAGACAGAGATGAGGCATTTGGTAGATATTTTCACAGGTATAGACAACAAGTATGTGATAAGAGTGTTTGATATAATTCTCATTACAGCCTAAATGTTAATAGCCAAAATCTGCTTAGAAATGGAATTTTGATATAACTACCATGTAACTATTTAAAAATTATATAAGAATATTTTGGCAAAAAAAATGTAAGTACAACTAATTACTATGCAATTTTCAGTAAAATCAATCCAGAGTAAAATGTTTAAATGTTATATATATTACATAAATAAACCTATATAAAATATACACATATACAATCTGTAATGTTAAATGCTAAAATTTAAAATCAATACCTCTGGGTGTGTGAAGTTATAAACATTTGGTTTTATAATATTTTTTACACCATATTTTAAATTTACCTACTATTAACTGGTACTGATTATTCATAAAATGTCAGTAAATCAATGATTCTATTTCTTACAACAGGCAGAATTCTGTCTTGACAAGGCTTTTTTCTCTCTGTACCTAGTAAATGTCCTAGAAATAAACTGCTTTGTATTTAGTATTTAAATGCTAAACAACTTCAGCCACCCATTATAGACTTACCATGTCAAACAGCCTGTATGGAATAATATACTTTTTTTTTTTTCCCAGCAGAGAGACAATTTTTAAGAGTGAAATTATTATCCTAAACTTTGGTATAATCTACAGCCATCAGCAGTTCTCAGGTCAGCAATATCACCTTCCCCTAGGAACTTGCTAGAAAAACAAATTCCCAAACCCAACTCTGATACTGAATCAAAAACACTAAGTGCAGAGCCCAGCAATCTGTGTTTTAACAAACAGTGCAAGAGATTCTAAACTATGTCAAAGTTTGAGAACCACAATCTGCACTACAATACACAAATAAAAGTTTCAGCAGCTTCTACCTGTCTAAATTCACAGGAGACTTCAATATAGTTAACTTAGGTCAGATGCTCCTTGAATGCCAAGGTCTAAACTTTTTTTCTTCTTTCTCTGAAAGCATTCCAAGTTAAATAAGACAAATTGCTCTTCTGCTAAATAATTTTGGTCAGAGAGATTATGAGTTTTAAAAACTTTGTTTTTTAAAGCTCTCAGCATCAGGGCTTTACTCAACTAACCAAAATCAACCACAAGGAACCAGCCACCATCACCTTAGCAAAGCACTTAAGGCACTATTTAATTAGGAAGCATAGGGAGAAACAGAACAAGAAATCAAATCCGTAAAATTGCCATAGAAAAATCAGAGTACTTAAAATCACGATTAACTCAAACAATTCTCAGACTTATTCATCACACAGCAAAATATAAAATATCTTTTGAGTCATTTCAGACTGTGGGTGAGGATATCAACAGCAAGACACAGAAACACGGTAAAGGGGAAGCTCAACAACATTTAGGATAAATAACTGAGCCTTTTTCCTCAGGAAAGACAGCCCACCCTACACCAAAAAAAAAAAAAAACAAAAAACAAAAAACACCCCAGTATGAATGAATTCCAAAGGAGTGTTGTTGCTCAACACTTAGTACACATTTACATCGGCAAAATGGCTGGTGATATTCTTGACATTTTTTTTTTCTTTTTTATTGCTAAAGGTAAAGAACTTTGTTCTTTCAACACCCAAACCAGAG